TGCAAAAGCTAAGAGAAAAAGAAATGGCCTAACAAGAAGTAGTGAAGACAAAGTCTACAAACGAGTCCTTGCCCCTGCACTGAAAAGGTATGAAGAGCATATTACTGCCTTACAAACAATGTCATCAACAATATGACAAATTCATTTAATCCTGAATCACATCCCGAGGTGCTTATCAACATATCTACTGAACTGCCTGTAATATCAGATGTAAAGAGAATCTACTGAAAATAGCAGTTATTGGTGAAGAACAAATGAAGAGATTTTTGAGAGGAGCACTCGATTCTGATGGGACACAGCTTCTTCAGCCCAGTCAAGAAATCTGGCATAAAAACTTTTGATCACATGTCCAAGACGACCAAATTTAAGTCTTGCAAGGGAGGGACAATCGCAGCAGCTTTCAGTCCATAAATTGTTTTCCACAGAGCCCTACCCTTAGCAAGACACAGATATATTTCAATGGTAACTGTTCTCTCCCAATGTGTCTAGGTCTGTGTCTATGTCCCTCTTGCATGCTGATGGAACAATGAGAAGAACAGAAAAAGCTGAATTAGGACATCTGGAAGTTCAAGCTGAAAGAATCCATAAGCTAAGAGCATGCAACAAAGAAACCACAGTGTACATCAGAGATTCCATGGTTGTCATACAAATGATGGCTGGAGACAAATTCCACAGATTTGATGAACTGGCAGCTGAGTACTTGAGGCAGGTCCTAAAAGAATTCGACAAAGCTAATACTGTAACCGAAGTCTTTGACAGATATGACAACAATAACTGAAAACTGCAGAAAGCCAGCACTGGACAGGATCTAAAGGTTGGATGCAATAGGTTGAAATAATACAGAGTCATTAACAGAAACAAATGCAAATATTTCAAAGAGGTCATTTTTACGTGTTGATGATGTCATTATTTACCCCATTTCTATGGTAATGGCACCACTTGACAGCTCCACATCATACCTCATCTTAAAACATAACAAGCTTTCAAATGTATGTAGAGAGGGTACATTAAAATGACTAAATTGGTGGTGTCTTCTGCTTGCCTACTGAAGTGCAAGAAGTTCTGTCTCCAAGAACAATCAGAAATGAGCTGTGTTATGACAGTAAGACACTTCAAAAGACATTAAGACTCATTATGAATTCTTAGTATCTCAAAATATTTGAAAACTTCCTTCCTGGTTGTAGGTTGGAAGCACAGGCATAAGAGTGGCAATCCAATAGGGTAGATACCGTTGGAAAACACCACTTTTCTATGTCAGATGTCATTTGCCTTTCAACTCTGGTCCGTGTTGCTAACAGGTAAGCCTGTAACTGCCAGTGGAACTATAAGAAGATATAAGTGATTCTATCAATTTGTCATCAGATCACCATTCCTTGTTATCTCTTATGGTTCTGTACTTTAGCAGCCCAGTGAATGTGGAGCCTATGTAGTTTATCATTACTCTTTATTTACAATCCCTGAGACAGTTTTCAATTCATGTGAGAAAACACATGTTCAATCCAATTTGGATTAATTTTTCAAGTAAGATTTTATAAGGAACAATGTCTAATGTTTTAACTAATGTTCAGATATCTTATATGTAATCAATTCTCTTTTACAACTGATTTTGTAATTTGATAAAAAAGTTATCAAATTTGTTTGTTTTTTCTTTATAAATCTATGCCGTTCATTGCACATGTTTCTATTATCCTCTAGTTGCATGCAGATTTTTCTGTTAGACAGCCCTTCCATTATTTCAGTAGGACATTACATTAGATTTACTGGACAGTAGATAGAATTACATGTTAATAAGGTATTCAGCATATGCTTCCTTAGAAATAGTACCATGGTATGATCAGCCAGTTTTCCCATTGGTGTATATTATTTTGGATTACCCACATAAAGAGGTTACTTACCCTACTGTAACTGTGGTTCTTTGAGATCTGTTGTCCACATGTATTCCACTTCTGGTGTGCATGCACCTATGTGGATGAGATCAGAATCTTTTTGAATAGTGCTCTACATGCCCTTTAGGACTTCATAGCTGAGGACATAAAGGGTGAGATGGATGCAACCACTCCAGTTCCTTTGCCAAAACAGAATCCATATTGACAAGGACTCCGCAGTAGCAGAGAAAATGCATTGTGGAATACATGTGGACAACACATCTTAAAGAACTACAGTTACTGTATGGTAAGTAACTGCTCTTTCTTCTTTGAGTGATTATCCACATGTATTCCACTTCTGGTGATTCACATGCAGTAATTCATATCCCATAGATGTAGTCGATTGAAACAATGATTGTAATACAGTTCTGCCAAAGCAGACATCAGATCTGGAGCCCTCTATCAAAAAGTAGTGATGAATGAAGGTGTGGACTGAACTCCAAGTAGCTGCTTTACATATCTCTGAAATTGTAACACCAAAAGAAAAACTGCAGAGGCTGCCAAGAGATCTGACAACAGCTAAGTGTTCGGATTCCCTACAAGACCTCTTTCCACTCAGCTTCCCAAGAACTCAGTTCGTCTCCAGACTTCATCTCTCGGGTATCTTTATTTGGCATACAGCAATGCTACACGGAATTGATCAGTCTCAAATGCAGGGGGAGTGGATGTAGGGTACATCACAGCTCCAAAGTTACACAGAAACCCTGTCCCTTTATATACATTACATATCTCATTGCATTTACTATACATTGCACCACACTTTGACTTTGTTACTTTGCAGGAAGCAATCCCTGTGCAGCATGCTCTGTCCATGCATTTTCCATGATCGACATACTCCTTACTTCATCTCTACATTCCTAATTTATCTTGTCCATTGTTATCTTGTTCATAGTAAATGGTTCCCTGGGTGTTCTCCCTCTTATCTTAGCTGGCTCAGACATTGTCTTTTTAGCCTACTGATCTATTTACTCATCTTATTTAGCTCAAATGTCCTGTTTTCAGCCTGATGATTCATTTATCTCCCTAATACTATCTTCCAAAGAAGGACGCCTCCCCATGTGTTTAAAACAGTCCCAGCAGTGAATTGCTTCATGACAATGGGGCAATTAGCATGCTCTGCCTCACTTGCCCTACTGAAGTGGAGAAGGGATATAAATCTTTCATTGGCAGAGATTATCTTTCAAGAGTTCATGAGGGTCCCAGAAATTTTTATATGAGTATCAGGGCTGGGGTCAATGAGTAGTTTCTTCCAGGAGGCCAGAAATGGTGACTCTGATTAGTCCGATACCATTAGGTATTCTAGTACTACAAATGTTATGGATACCACAAAAAAGAGAAGGTAGTGTTCCCTCCACCTTGAGAAGCGAGGTTGGTACCATAAAGTGAAGTGCTAGGTGCTCCATCGCAGGTGTCAGAGGCGTGGTACCAGGACTGACAACTTAGGTTACACTGGATTCTTTAGTGCAAAGAGCTTTAGTGCTAGCATGGAAAGCTCTGCCATTTAAAATTTCAGTTCCAGTTGCTTTAGTGTCAGATGCTTCGATTCTTGTTTGTCAGTACCAGGTACACAAGTAGTTTCTCCAAGCTGCACTAAGATAATCTGGTGACCCTTCAGTGTCGAAGCATCAGCAGTATCCAATCTGGGCCTTGAACTGCCTCCTAAGGTAAATCTGCTCGGCGCCAGAGAGGGAGATCTGTGTCTGTGGTCCCCAGTAAGCACTCTCTCTCTCTTCAGTGTTGAGTGAAGGAGGGCAGGGAAGCTCTGGTTGACTCCACAGTAGAGGAGTGGGACTTCCTCAGTGCCAAATGACCTCTAGTGCCTGGGGTAGACACTTGACTTATTGGAGAACTCACCGAGCTGGTGTGATCCAGTAAGATGGTCTCTCCTTCAGGAGACAACAAGGCTATCATGTACTTCTCTAAAAGGAAAAGCTTCAGGTGGGATTCCCTTGCTTTTGGATTCTTTTGGGAAAGAAGCAGCATATAGAAACTTGTATGATATAGGTACTTCCCCAAGGCAGAAGAGGCAGTTAGGGTGTCCATAATAGGAACAGCTGCCTCCCAAGAGAGACAGGTCTTGAATCTAGGGGACTTTGACTTCACTATGTCTGGGGCAAGGTCTGGTTCCAAAGCATATCCTTAACTTGAAAAGGGTTGTTTTTTCCCCCCCTTTCTTTTTTTCCCCCTTTTCTTTTTTGCCAATGGGCTTAAACTACACCAACTATACTAGAGCATTAATTAAGAACTAACTATAGAAAATCAGTTGCACATTGCGCATAGACACTGAAGGTGTTCCATCTTGTAGCCCGAGGCAGTAAGAAGGAACTGAAGGTCGCTTGCTGTCACCTCACCTTTATGACCTCAGATATGGAGCACCAGAGGGTGCAGATATGGCCCTGAAAGACAATGCTATTTAAAAAGATTGCACTCTCGCTCACATGGTGTGTATGTGCACTAATAATGGAATAGATGTGGACAATCACTCAAAGACAATCTGATTAGGTGCTTTTTTTTTTTACACTTAAATAGAGGCGAAATAAAGTAAACATTAGCTAAATAGGCCCTTCAATAAAGAAGGTAACTTATTAAGTGTGTTGCAGATACAAGATTAGCTGTTTGATGATCCTGGACCATGTGCAGGGAGAGTGTGGATCTCTAGAGGCCATCTCCTAGCTAGATATACTACACCCAAATTTGAAATATAGGTATACAAGTATTTCAAGTGAGATCTACTTGTCTGCCCACATGCAGACATCTGCAGCATAATTAATAATGGGAATATTAGTGGATGCATCTCCCTGAGACTGGGATTTCAGCCATGAATATTAATTTCAAATGTAGGATACAGTGAAACTGGTTTGTATTAAATATGATCTTTAAACAATTTTATTTTAGATGATTATTATAATTAAATATATAGCATTCAAAAAGTGGACAGTATACATTGTTTTCAGAAGTACATTATATAGTCATTAAAACATATTTAAAAGTGTCTTTCTTAAGCACTAGCATAAATTCCACTAAAATTAAAAATGTTTCCAGTAACTAGTTAGCAATACCATGTATAATTCATACCTTTTCTCCTGTATCTTTTCCCTCTCCATTTCCATACAGCCCACAAGCTGTTTTTAAAGGGTCTGCAACACGCCTGAGAATTTGTTCTAGATCTTTTAATATAACTTCTGTCTCAGAGACAACTAATAAACCAACAAAATCAATAATTTAGCTAAAATACATATGTATATTTATGCAACATTATTATGAAATATTATTTATTACTCAGTCAATTAAAACAGTGGGGAACAGATACAGAAAATCTACAGGGAAAATCATTACTCCAAACATGGAAAAGAAAATGGGTTTCCTGTGGTCAGGGCTGGCTCCAGGGTTTTGGCCGCCCCAAGCAGCCAAAACCAAAAAAAAAAAAAGACCGCGATCGCGATCTGCGGCGGCAATTCGGCGGGAGGTCCTTCACTCCCAGGCGGAGAGACAGACCCTCCGCCGAATTGCCGCCGAATACCTGGAACTGCCGCCCCTGTCCGGAACGGCTGCCCCAAGCACCTGCTTGAGAAGCTGGTGCCTGGAGCCGGCCCTGCCTGTGGTAAAACCATATGGGGCTAAATTCCGCTATCATTGACACTGGTGAAAATCCAGAGTAACTTTACTGGCTTCAGATGTGAGAACAATTCATCCTTTGGTCTTTAATGATTTGAAATCAACACAATTGTCAAGATTCAGTGAAGAATAATAAAAGAGTTATCTTGTTAGGTAAAATTCTTGCCAACTGTTATACCGGATATGAGTAGAAACTTGCCTGAAAATTTTTTAAACAAAAATAAAAAGTAACTTCTTACATTACTTTACAAAATATACCTCTTGAACTTTCTGGATAGAAAATCTCTGAAAGGAGATACAAAATGCAACAAAACTCACAAAGCCAAGAGGCTCTGCTGAAGCAGAGCTCTTTGGAGACAGGTCACTGGTAGTCTTTCTTCTCCTTCCTACAGAAATAGGATGGTGGCAGCTGCAAGCAGCCTTTTCCAAAGGCAGCAGGAATATGGGGGCAGGAGGCCACATGAGGTCATCTCCCACCTTTCCGTAAATGGACATGACACAACGCTACCATGAGATAGCTCAGTCAGTCCCTTCTGACCAGCCTTGTTTCTTTCCAATGTGTAACACAAATGTTTTTCACTGTGAGCGTTGATTTGAAATTAGGTAAATTCATACTAACAGTATTTGATGCAAAACTTTTCTTTTTTTTCAACATTGTAGGTTTTAGGGGAAAATGTTAGAACACATTTTTATTTAATGTAATTTTTTTTAAAGAGAAGCTGGAAGAAAAAAATGCAGGAAGTTGTTCAAAAGGCAAGACATTCTGTAAACAGCTTTGATAAGATTATAAAGAGATTCTGTTGTGCTAATAAAGTATTAAATGCAACCTTCAAGTTGAAGGTTAGTTGAACTAATTTAATTTCTAGGTGGGACCATTTCATCTCACCTTACTGAGGCTTTAGAGGCTGCAAGGAGAAGGCCTTCTCAAATAAAGTTATTACATACTATCTTCAGAAATGATTAGATCAATAATTGTACCAACTTATCTGGTCAAAATGTGCAGTAAAGCCTGCATGGATGTTTGCACAACAGTACCAGCTTCATAAACCCTACAAATGTCTTTTCATGGAAAGTCTGCCATTACTGATATACTGCAGTGTTGTAGCCATGTTGGTTCCAGGATAAGGTGGTGAGGTAATATCTTTTATTGGACCAGTTTTTGTTGATGAAAGAGACAAGCTTTCAAGCTTCACAAAGCTCTTCTTCAGCGCTTCTCATGTAATGAATATCATCAATATTACCACAGTGTTTTGGGCTGGTAGCTGAATCATCATTTTCATTAGGTGTAGTTTATATGGTATGCAATACATTTGGTATAACATTTTTAATGTGTTTCCAAATCATTAATATGTGTTTTCCTTGGACCAATCATGTAAGTCGTACCAGGATAAGGGTAACATACTTTACAATTACATAGATACATACGTACATTTTTATATAATCTTTCATATGAACTGTATCCAAACTTGTTTTACAAAACTGAAAAATACAAGATGTATACAGTGCATCGTTTGCTAGTATTCTGCCAAAAAACTTATACTATATCCAGTCACATAAATGAAGATTTTTGTTCCATAGAGACCTTAGTAGGATTGAGCAAAGAGAAGATGAAAGGCCTTTCCTTTTCTACTTTATATGAGGAGTTGTTCTTGGCTGAGAAAGGCCCAAACAGAGTATCTGTGTTAACTATAATGCCATGGAGCCTATTGTAGAAAAGGAGTTTTGTGGATCCAAAATGTTTCCTATCTAAACATTTTTTTTCCTTTTAAATCAAAGAAATGTATGATTCCTGGAATTTCCCAATAACTGAAAGCTTAATTCTGATAAGCTATGGGGAATTCTGAATTTATTGTGCTCAAGTGAAGGAAGTATAGAATTGTCAGCAGTTTTATTTTTTGCATTTTAGACCATATATCTGGACAATAGCGGAGGATGGGAGAATTCTTCTGGTAGATGTGCTTATGAAAATGACATTTCCAGCCAATATTCTGGAGCATTTTTCATATTAGACTGTACCTAGCCTAACCTGGGATACTAGACAAGTAAATCTGAGCAAATAACAGATTAATCACAATTCAGTCTATTTTATAGCTGTAACAATGCAATGCAGAGTTTCTTCCATAGCCAGACATATTTTCTTATATGTTTATGTGCTGTAATGCTAGGTGCAGCACCAGTGAGAACACAAACTATATAACTGAGTCAATCCAAGATATTAAGTTTTAGCTCTATAATATACCATACAGAAGTAGCTGTGAAGTGTTTCCAGTGGTCCAAGCAATCTTTAATGTATTTCATTAGGTCAAGCAGCTATTTTGATATCCTAGTTCCGTCTATTAACTGTTTCACTGGCAAGCACATGAATATTTAGTCTAATCAGAATAGGGTATAGGACTGATACAAAAGATTTAAATTGTTGACAAACTACTGGGACACCACCTACAGTGATTCCACTATAAACATGGGGCTGTTGTAATTATTCTTTCTTTGTAGTGCTTTTCATGTCATATTGAAAAACACTCTTTGTAATTCTGAGGTTACTTTGCCTACTGTTTGTTTATTCAGAGGACACTTTCATAATAGGTGGAGCAATCGGAACCGGCACAGGGTGAATAACCTATTTTTTTTTTTTTGGTTTACTGGCAATCAAAAAAAATCAGTCCTAAATTAACTGAATCCAAAAATTGCAAAATGTTATGGCAAAATTGAAAAAAAAAACTGCTTTGGAGGAATGTTCTATTACAGGCATTTTTAAAGGGCTAGATTCACAAAGCAGCAGGAGGAGGAAGAGGAAGGGGTAGTGGTGATATCAGTCTATGGTATAGCAGTCAATGTCACTCATAATGTCAGTTCATAGTCATTCATAATGGCAATGATTAGTCATTGGATCAGAAAGACAGGGCAAATGGATGACTCTGTAGTCCGGTGGCTAGGGCATTCACCTAGGATGTGGGAGACTCAAATTCACGTCTGTGCTCCAATAAAAAGTGGAACTTCCACAAGAAAGACTAAGAGAGACCACTGCAAAATATTCCATAATGTTATGATAAGGGTACTCTCCTGAGAGGTAGGAGAGTATTTTCAAATTTCTTCTCCACATCAGGCAGAGTGGGGAATTGAACCTGAGTCTCCCACATCCCCGATGAATGCCCTAACCACTGGGCTAAATATTATAAGGAATTAGCCACAGTTACCACCACCAAAATATTTTTGGTTGGAATTATTTAGCAAATTCACATAAAATTTGTGAAAAGTTTTGAGTCAACGAAACTGTGGGTTTTTTTTTGTTTTGTTTATTTTGGGTTTTTTTGTCAAATAAACTATTAGTCTGAAAATACACAGCACAACTAACAACACATATAGTTCAGGTACCCTAACACTTTCTAATATAACCCTTTGTTTTTGGTTTCTTTATTCTTTGTTCTCCTACATATGAAATGCACAAAGCCAGAGCTCAAGACAAGACACAGACAAAATACTTCTTGGCTTAGATGAAGATGTACTTGTCTGGGAACCCAGGACATGATGATTTTGAGTCTCCCCTCTTCCACTGATCATTGTTAACAATTGTGTCCTTCACAGCCCATATTCACTTAGGCCATTACTGTAAGAGGTTAGATGAGTTAACTGATGATCTGAGAGGTTGCTCGTGATCATTTCAGAGAGATCATTTCTGACAGAGCTGGGAATAGGACCCAGATCTCTGCTATGGCGTATCCAAATCTCACTAATTTAACCACATTGTCTCTCAATTAGATTAAGCCAAATTTATGTGTTTGGTTATTCTCTCTGTAAAACGGAGCAATTCTTGTACAGCCACCTCAACAAAGCATTGTGAGAAATACAGATGAACGCTACAGTCTTTAATTACATGATCAGATGCTATGAGACACTGACTGGGACCGAGAATGGATTCTGTCTCCTGTTCTGCCACAAGTTTTCTATATCATGCTGAATATGTCCTTGACTCCAAAGCATTGAGATGTGGATGCTAACTATTAAGATCTTTATTTGGTTTTGTAAATCATATTGTGTTAACTATTAAAATAATAATTTAAAAAATATTTACCTGTACAATAACTATTGTTCTTTGAGATGTGTGGAGATTATATACATATTCCACTGTAGGTGTATGTGTGCCTTATGCATTCAAGTTGGAGACTTTTGCCAACCATACTGGTGGGTGGCACATGTGCCCCTTCCCACATTTGTGAATAGAGCTGAGGGCATAAAATGGCTGTGGCTCTGCCTCCCTCTCCATTCCTTCACATGACCCTCCAACAAAGACTCAAAGTAGCAGGAAAGCAGACGGGACATTGAGATATGTTTTGCACATATACATTCCAAGAATAATAGTTAACTGTACAGGTATGTAACCATTTTTTCTCCTCTGAATAGTTGTGCACATACACATTCCATTGTAAGTGACTCAGCAAAAGTTACTTTGAGGATGGTGGGACTTTAATTATTTGAAGAGAGCCTACTGCATCATCTTGCCAAAGTTCACATCAGCTCAGGAAGCTTAAGTAAAAGTGTAGTGTCTGGAGAAGGTAGGTGCAGATGACCAGGGCTGGCTCCAGGGTTTTGGCCACCCCAAGCAGCCAAAAAAAACCAACAACCCCGCGATCGTGATCTGCGGCGGCAATTAGGCGGGAGGTCCTTTTCTCCCAGTGGGAGTGAGGGACCGTCTGCCGAATTGCTGCCGAATACCTGGACGTGCCACCTCTCGCTGGAGCGGCCGCCCCAAGCACCTGCTTGTCAGGCTGGTGCCTGGAGCCGGCCCTGCAGATGACCATGTTGCTGCTTTGCAAATGTCCACTATAGGTATGTTGTTCAAAAAGGCTGATCAAGTGGAATGAACCCTAGTGGAAAGGACTGTTATCCTTATAGGACAAGAGACCTTAGCTAGATATAGTCAGAAATCCAGTGGGATATATACTGAACTGTAAGAGGTTGCCTTTAATCCTTTCAGCACAGGATACAAAAAATCTAGGAGATTACCTGAAAGACTTTGTATGTGTAGGTAAAAGAATAAAGCTCTCTAGACATCCAATGTATGAAGCCTCTCCTCAGTTTTATTAGAGTGAGGCTTCAAAAACAAAAAACAGAAGTTTGGTTGGTTTGATTGAGGTGGAATGTTAAACAACTTTTGGTATAAACTTAGGGTGCAGCCTGAGAGAGACTTTGCCCTGGTGGAATATTGTGAAAGGAGGGTCTGCTAGTAATGCTTGAAGCTCTGACGCCATCCTCACAAAAGTAACTGCTACCAAACACACTATTTTCATTGGTAGCAAGAAGAATTTACTCACCTTGTGCAGTAATGATGGTTCTTCAAGATGTGTGTCCCTATGGGTACTCCACTGTAGGTGTGCTTGTGTCCCTGCGCTGCTGATCTGAGAACTTCGGTAGCAGTTTCCGTTAGGTCCACACATGCGCTCTCTCCTTGTGCTGCACCAGGAGGTTGGCAGTGCGCCCCTACCCTCAGTTCCTTCTCTACCGCAGTCACTGACAAGAACTCCAAAGTAGAGGGGAGGAGGATAGGTGGTGGAGCACCCATAGCGGGACACATCTTAAAGAACCATCATTACTGCACAAGGTGAGTAACAACTTCTTCTTCGAGTAGTGTCCCTGGGGGTGCTCCACTGTAGGTGACTCCCAAGAAATACCCCTTCTGGAGGGCTGGGACTTCGGAGTTGGGTCTGTTACAGATGGCAGTACTATGGAGCCAAAGATGGCTTCAGCAGCAGAGTCCCCAATCATCGCATAGTGTTCTGTGAAAATATGGGCCATGTCACCGCGCTACAAATCTCCAAGATAGGGACATTCTTGAAGAAGGCGACAGTGAAGAAATTGACCTTGTGTAGTGTATCCGAACAGAGTCTGGAGGGATCATATTGTGAACTTGGAACACTGTCTGATGCAAGTCAAGACCCACTTGGAAAGCCTTTGGGCTGATATTGCTGAACCCATGGCTCTTTCTGCAATGGAGAGGAAAAGCTTATGGGACTTCCTGAAGGCCTTAGTACTGTCCAGGTAGAAGGACAGGGCTCTCCTGACATTCAAGGTATGCAATATTAAGGTAAAAGATTGAAAGGTGAATTAATTGATTCATGAAACAGGGAGGTCACCTTAGAGATGAATTTTGGATGAGGCCTAAGCGTAACCTTCTCTGGGAAGAATACCATGTAGGGTGGGGGATGTGCCCTCAGAACAGCTCTCTCTCCTATTCTCATGGTCGAGGTAATCGCTATCAGGAAGGCCGTTTTCATGGAACGGTACATCAGCGAACAGGTGGCCATAGGTTTGAAAGGCCTAATCAATGCTTTCAGTACCAGATTTAAGTCCCACATGGGAATCGGAAGACAAGGATGTGGGAAGAGGTTTACTTTTAGTGGTTGGATGTGACAGCACTGAATATCCTTAACAGGCTGGTGGAAAGCTGTTATAGCTGCTAAGTGGACCCTGAGAGAGCTTTAGGGTCAATGCTTAGTCTAGGATATGTGGAAGAGTTGCGGATGTTGGGGAAATTTGTTGAAAAGAGCACCAAATCTGAAATATGGACCATTTTTGCAGGTAAGTACGTCAAGTCAAGGCCTTTCTGCTGTGCACAGAACTTCTTGTACCTCCGTTGAACAGGAGCTTTCTAGGTGTTGGAACCGACTGGGAGCCATGCCTTGAGGCAGAGAATCCCCAAACTGGGATGCAGGGTACATCCTCTGTTCTGTGAGAAGAGGTGCAGAATGGCTCGGAGAGGGATATTGTGACAGGTAAGGGTACCAGGTCTGTCTCAGCCAAGTAGGAGCAATTAGAATGACATGGGCTCTATTTCTTTTTATTTTCAGCAGGACTGTTGACAGTAGAGGAAATGGAGGAAAGGCAAATCTGAGGAGAAGATGATGTAGCTCTCTTCAAGAAATGGAGAAGCTGCTCCAGTGGGTGTCAGCAGATGCTTCAGCCCTGGTGAGGCATGCTGCTGCACAGGCAGTACTACCAGTGTTAAAGCTGATTTTATTTGTCCAGGTGGGATATGTAGCAAAGGACAAAATGCTGACTGGTATATGGATTGCACCAACGGGGCCAGCATTACAGATGGTGCCAACAGTGCTGACTGAGCAGACAAGGTAGACAGTGCGGACAGTGCTTATGTGGATGAAACTGCCTGCCATTGATACCAGAGAGTGAATTAGGCACAAAAAGGCACAATAAGCTTTTTGTCACAAAGAATGCTTGTGACATCAACATTACTGTAATTGGAGGTAAATGCTCCACAGACAGCACCTGATAGTGCTCGAGTAGAAGATGATGGTACCTGTCTTGATGGCCCCACCAGAGTTGACAGTGCTACATCGAACAGTACCAGTGAACACTGGTGTTTATGACCAGACTTCAGTTCAATAACGACGGACTTTTAGATGATCTGTCCCATTTGTGGGACAACATATAAGACCAGGATGGTCTATCAGCCTCAGATGGTGAAGGAAACTTCCTCTGTTTTGAGGAAGCTGCAAGAGAAGAAGGAGAAGATCTCTTTTATCCAGATTTTGTTTTTGGGGCCTGAGCAACCAGAGGTGCACTCCACATAGAAGAAATCTCCCTTCCTTTGTAGTGAGGGTCAGGCTCTGAAGTGGGGTGCATCGACTTCTCAAGCAAATTAATATCGATATGGAATTCCCTCAAATTCTTTATCCTTGCTGGGAAAGAGGAATGTATGAACATTTGTCCCCAACATGTCCCTCTTCCAAGACAGCTTGAGTACCTATCACTCACAGATGTTACTGCCCTGCAAGTGGCACACTGTTTAAATCCTGGGGATCTCTGCATGGTAAGAGACACCCAGAACACAAAGTGTGAACTATCTAACTAACCTACAACACTAAAACTATGAACAAAATATGTACAATATATTTTTAAAATCTGGCAAGAAAAGAAAATCCAAGCTTAACAGGGAGCCCCATCTCTTGACATGGATGATAAAAAGGAACTGAGAGGGAGGCAGCAGCCACACCCCTTTCATATCCTCAGTCTGGAGCACAACGATGGCAGTCGCCTGTGCCACCCACTACTCCTGCTGGCAAAAGTCTCTGACTAGAGTGCATTGGGCACACATACACCTACAGTGGGATGTATATGTGCACAATGACTCTAAGGAGAATTTAACATTGCAGCAACAGGTGTCTTGGAATTTGTTTTTTGTTCTGTATGTATACATGTGGCTTGTATGCTAAAATATTATTGTTCATCAAAGACAATCTTTTCAACACAAAAGGGACACAAAAGCTTAAATATATTAAGATGCTAAATGTATGTAAATATTATTCAAAGTAACCGGACACTTGTAATTAAACAACAGATAGTTTATACATACCCAGATTTTCTTTTGACAGGAAGTCATCTGAAACCATTGTTTCAAGAGAGCATCTTAACATACTTTTCCTAGAAAAAGATTTTCACACATTTAATACAAGTCACTAATGATGCACAGTTAAAGGACATTTTAAAATATAATATTTATTCATACAACATTTTTCTAGGTTCTTTCTTACAATAGTTGCTACATATTGATTTGTGAAAAAACACCTGTCTCTCTCATTCATTTCCTGGTAGTAATACTTATTATAGGTACAATCCTCTGTTTATCCCATATTATTAACAGAGTTTTGGTCCCAGGGTTTGGATAAGTAGTAAGAAGAAATGTATTATGAGAAGCAATTTCTATTTATACACAGAAAAACTCAAATATAGACACAAAATGAGCCAAATTTCCAAACTCTAATCCACAAAAATTGTCCAGGCTAAATTTAGCTAATATAGATATCCAAGTACCTTATTGTACCCACAAATCAGGTACTTCAACATCTAAATGACCTAATCATTCCTCCACACAAATAAACTGCTTTTATTATTTGTATCTGCATAATTGCAGGAACAAAAATGAAAGCCTGCTGAAAATCTAGCCAATTATCACTAACAGTAAATTATTTAGCAAGGTAAGTAGCAGTGAATTTGTGAAAGACGATTTAAATCATGCTTAACAATGTTTCTAAGTTCTGAAAAAATAGTGTTTATATTTCTTTCTTGATGGTCCTCCTGAATTCTCCACTAACGCATCACCCTTGATTTACACATCTCCTCTTCAGGATTCGCTGCTGCAACCCTTCTGGCCACGGAGGGCCAAATGTCTTCCCTTCAGCAGTGCTCTTGCATTGACTTGGATATTGTTAATGAGGGCAAGTAGGTGCTCTTCCTACTCCAGCACCCACATTCTCAGAAACGACAGAAGCAATCTCACGTAATAGCATGATATACTAATCACAGTGCTACCAAGCCATTGGAAGTTATTTAATTACACAGTAAAAATGTTAAAAAAGAACTACCCAAATCTTACTTCCTTTTTTGTCCAATGCCACTTCTATTTTTCTTGACAACTTGCTTTTTCTGAGCTTTTATCTGAGACACAAAAATAATAAAACTTGGTTTGTGAGTGGTAATATGCTGTAACATTTTAAAGTAATTTTCTGCTATATATTAGTACATTCTGTAACTACATGAACTTTTACAGGAGAATAATTTAAACTTGTAATTACAAATATGAAAAAATATTTATCAAAACATTTTTAAAAAATCCAATAAAACAATTACACCAACTCAAGTAATGTTTTTGTAGATCCCCTAAGTGGATTCAGGCTTTCATTATGATACTAAATATTAGTAGGCTTCTTCTCTGACTTTTGTAGTTTGAGTTATAAGACAGGTATGTCACATGTGCTAAGCATGTATATACACAATTTATATTAAAAATACCTTGTACTATGTAGAGTGTATATTTTGTGTGTATGAATACAAAAAAAAGAAATGATAGCTTAATTCATGCTACAGTACTCTTGAAGGATGATTAGACTGTCAGCTCAAAAAGATAATATATGTTCTTCATCAAGACTCTGGGTTTTTTTTAAATACAGGTTAATGATGATAAAGGGAAAGCAAACACTGTGCTCTTTTGGACAGGGCACTGGAGTGCAAGTTGGCAAATATGGGTTCTATTGCTGGCTCTGCTACTGACCTGCTGTGTCACACTGGGCAAGTAATTTCATTCTCTGTGCCTTTGTTTCCCTTCTGACTTTTCAAATGCTTCGTCTATTTACAAGATAACTAGGAACTGCCTCTCACTATGTGTCTGTACAGTGGCTAGCCCAATGGGTCCTCAGAGATTAGTTGGGGCTTTTGGGCCCTATTGTAATACAAATAATAACATTTTTAATTATTAGGATTTTCTAAATCAATATATATATTAAGATAATGATACAAACTTTCTTTTACACTTTCCATAACTGGTAGATAATAGAATATTCCAGAACATCAGTACTTCTTAGGAATAATCAGTTTAGGATCACATATTAAGTAACCCAAATCAAAAGATAACTTTTTATGTAAGTGCTGCGCTACTACACTAAATCTAAATACCTTTGGCTTTTATCTATATTTGTATAAATATTATATATATATTCATTCTAACTCTGAAATTATCTCAAATATATTGGTGGTTTACACAAATTTGTTAGCTGGATTCACTTTGACCCTTGAATTTTGCCTTCATATAAGAAATGATTTGTTAATCTTTTTTCCCCAAGGAATTTCAGACCTTTATCACTATTGAAATGGGAAATTTGACAAGATTGCCAAAAATGAAAATTTCATCCTTTGTATATTTGTCAGAAGTGATCAAAGAGGAAACTTAATACTCCATCAGACTTTCCTCCTATTGGGAAGTCTGAGGGAGAATTAAGTGAAATGCTGAAAGTACAGTTACTCTGAAAGCTGACTGTGTAAAAATACTTTCTTACTCAACAGATCTGCTTATTGTGATTGTCAGTCATATCTGCTTATTTTAGTGGCTAATAAAGATTTATTGCTTTTCACTCCTGTGACAATTTGAAGAATCTGTCTACATACAGCTTATGAATTCTGGTTGATTTTATGAAATTCCTGTATTACTAAATGCCTCAGTGTATGTGCTATCTGCTATCAAGGGCTTGTGCCACATTTCTCTGAGACTAGGGACAATGGAGAATCAGTAACCTGAATGGATCCCATTCCAATGGGAGCACTATAGAACAATGGGATGGCTGAAGCCTTGGAGATCCAGTTTGACCTAGCTTGTCTGCAAGGAAGAAGGGGTCAAGCAGTGGAACTTCCCCAAAAGGGGAATAAAGAGGCTTATATGAGGTTATAGCTCTTTTAAAACACAGAGGGATTCAGAGACAGAGAGGAACAAAAGGGACAGCTTTATGAGGGAGACAGGTTCTGTTGACTGTTGGACAGAAAGTTGAAGGCAGGGACTGCAGATAGACTCCCTGATTCGGAGGAGAAGTCATGAGCTTGCGAAAGGTGGCCTAGCAAATGGGACCTGGAACATGAAAAAACGCTAACCCAATTCCCAAAGAATGCTCAAGAGTGGTAAGGTAACTGAGACGGGAATGGCACATAGGCATTTATTGCTTTACCTAGATCTGTTTTTCTCCTGTGCTGTCTAAAGTAAAGAATGATTGTTTTCAGAAATCCTTTGCAAAGCCTACGCCTGTTTGTTTCAACTATCACATGTCCCTAAAGAGGTAAAATATAAACAATATCACATGCGTCTGATGAAGTGGGTATTCACCCACAAAAACTTAAGCTCCAATACGTCTGTTAGTCTATAAGGTGCCACAGGACACTGTCGCTTTTTACAAATCCAGACTAACACGGCTACCCCTCTGATACTAAGCCCATGTTGAATTTGAAGGACTGGCTGTTAGAAAAGTGTTTTTGTAAACTTGTGAATTGACTACATTTGTTATAGAAAACGTTTAGATACAAACAAGGAATCTCTCAATGTTAATTTACTGAATCATTTTTCAGAGTAGAACTGACCTTTAAACTGAGTTCTTGGTAAGTACAAATGGTAAGGCTTTGCTGCCCAAACAACAGAATTTTTAAACTTTATTTTTTTAAAAGCAGGTTTGCTAAAATGATAGCGTGCCAAGAACTTGCTCATTTTTTAATTATAGAGTAGAAGCAGCTACAGTAAATTAAGGTATTTTTTAGTTTTAATTAAATTTTATATTATTAATAAGGAACAGAAATAAAACAGAATGCATCTATGGTTACATGCAGCACATTGCAGGAGACTAAATAAAAAAATCTCTTGATCATATATTTTAGATACAATTAATATGAAAAATACTACTTTTGCATAAGTATAATGGATTTCTCTTAAGAGGTTCCTTCCTAGTTGCTGCAGTGAGCTATTGCTGTAGCCTTATGTCTCTACTATATAAGGGTTCAACTTTTAAAATGAGTTTGATAGTAGCATTCTAGTCCCTACTGGATAGTTGTCAAAAACACCAATGTGGCACGATTAAGCACGATAGGAAAATTCTGTTGTGACTGAAACAGCAACAGTGTTGCAGGTTGGGAGTAAAGGACAGATAATGTACAGGATGTAATGTATCTTGCACAGTGCCTACTTGCACTATTACTTTAACGAGCATCAAATTCACATACAATTTAAGCAAACTTTAAAGAAAAAACTACTTTCATTGCATCACAGATCACTGAGCTTCCCAAAACCCTGTGCATAGGGCCTAATATTAATCTGTATTCACACTTGGTCATCAGCTCTAACAACACTTGATTTTGTGTCTGTTGCTGTAAATTCTGCTCTTACAGAATGATATTATCTGATATATTATGATGTTTGGTCATAGCTGATTTCTAAAATCAATTTACACTAATAAACCTTTATGCCCAAAGAGCCAGTCATGAAGATCTGGCCTCTGATTCTCTCCCATCAACAATACAAACTTGCTTTAATCTCTCCCATCTTAAAAAAAAATCTGCCTTTGACCCCACTTGTCTTTCCAGCAACCACCCCAACTCCCTTTCATCTATAAACTCATTGAACATGCTATTAATAATTGCTGTTTAGAGTTCTTCTCCAATTCCATCTTAGATCTTCAATCTGATTTCAACTCCTTGCATTCCATTTAAACTGCCCTAAAAGTCTACAATGACTTCTTCCTCACCAAAGCTCAGAACCGGGCTCTATCTCATCCTCATTGACCTGTGAGCTGCCTTCAACACCATTAATCATGCTTTTCTTGAAATCTTGTCCTCCCTTAGCTTCCATAACAATGTCCTCTCCTGGTTCTCCTCCTACCACTCTAATTCCTCCTTCAGCTTACCCTTCATTTCCCCCCCACCCCGTCCAACTCTGGGAGTTCCACAGGGGACCATCCTTGGTAACCTTTTCTTCTCTCTTTATACCTTATCTCTGGAGTAATTTCAACAACAAATTGAGCTACCGTCTCTATGTGAACAATTCACAAATGTACTTCTTTACTTCAAACTTGTCTTCTGTCCAAATTAAAATCTTGGCCTGTCTCTCTGCCATTTCCTTGTGGATGTCTAGCCGTCAGCTCAAACCCAAATGGCTAAAACAGAGCGCTTAATCTCTCCTCTTCCCCAAGCCATCTCTATTACCTCCTTTCTCAATGACTGTAGACAACACCACCATAGTTCAAGCCCATAACTTGGACATCATCTTCAACTTTGAACTCTCTGTAGGACCTCACATCCAGACAATGTCTAAGTCTTGCTGATTCTATCTGCACAGTACCTCTGAGATACAGCCTTTCCCATCCATCCACACAACCAAAATTCTCATCTAAATTTTCATCTCACATCTTGATTACTGCATCATTCTTTTCTCTGGCCTTGACAAATGCCCTGCTCATATCCATTAAGAATGCAGCTGCAAAGACAATTTTCTTAGTCTGTTGCTTTGACCATGTCCCCCCTCTATTTGCATCCCTCCACTGGCTCCCTCTTCACTATTGTATCAAACATAAACTACTTCATTTCACTTTCAAGGTCCTTCACAACCTATCTATTGTCTCTCATTCTGCACTAAGAGGTCAACTCCCACCTCCAATTGACCCATGATGCTACCCTGTACCACCCACCATACACAAATAGCCACCTTCATGCTTTCTCCCATGCTGCTCCTCACACTTTGGAGGAACTCCCCATAAACATCCACAAAACGAACTTATTATCTTTGTTCAAAATTCTCCATAGCCAAGATGCTTACAAAAAAAAACGATAATGGTAAGGGTGCTGGTATGCTGAGATCCCTACCTATCGTACTGACCAATACTGTCTCATTGTTTCCTTTTACTCCCTCATCTGTCTATATTGTCATAGGGTCTGTCTTTTTGTTGGGTTTGTATAACACCTAGCACAACAGAGTCCTGGTCCATGATTAGAACTCCTAGACTATGATAATGCAAATAAAATTATAATAATATTTCTAGCATAAATAAACTAATGAATAGCATACATAAGGATAACTCCACTGATGCCCTATTATGGGCCTCCATTTCCTTCTGAACTCATGATTGGCTTCTGCA